GAGGATGGCAATGGATGATAACAAGACCAATGTCTTGGATCATTGGATTGAACGTGTCGTCACAAAACACGAGTCTTTGGAGAGGGAGATCGGCAACTAATTGAGTGCAATGCAGCACTCAGCACTACTGAGTAGCCTTTCCCTATCAAGCCAGTGCTGGTCTCTGGTCTCTGTTCCTCATTCGTTGGAATGTGATGAGTCATGCAATCAAAGTATCGCAATCTTATATCATCTTATCAACCATTATATATCAACCCATATTTTTGGAAACATAATTTCCCATATCTGACCTCGCATCATTCGCTCTCAGCCGGACGCATCATTCGCTGTTTGATCCAGCCCTGGGCCCCGGCTTGTCCCGCACAGCTCCAGGGAAGAGGGGTGTCAGGACGGACACCAACATGCGAGCCAACCACCTGCTGCTTCCGGCGCCGTGGTTTTCTGCAGCTTTGCTTTGAAAGACAAGCTTAACATCCACAGTATCAGCTTCCACAAACGAGCAAACACTTCTTTGCACCTTTAAGATCCTTTAAGCCATTTTTTCGAGCCAGGCTATTCAACTAGCCTTGATTCCTTCAATTGAATAGATCATGACGACTTGAACTGACCTGACATTGTCACCATGTCCAAATCCTGGTCATGTCTCGGTCCATTGATTTTGGCTACGGTCGTGGGCTGGGAGATCCAGATGTTCTGCGCCAAGCGCAGTTCGTGGATGGAGCCACTACTGAGCCCAGTCGTTGCACTGCACCTGTCATGCAACTGTGTTTCAGAATCCCTGAGCAAGTGTCACATCGTTCTGCTTCTTCCATGTGTATGAGTTCTCTATAAATCATGCATGTTCCGATTCCTACAAATGACCAATCATTACCATCACCTGAACATGCCGGTCCGCCCCATGCCGGTCCGCCCATCTTTGCTGAGTGCAGGACGGCAAGTTGAGGAGAACCGTTGGGCCCGAATATCCCGGGTAAAGGGTCACGGCCTGCCACGGGTGACCACACGCTTCGGTTTAGGAGAAAGCTTCGATCTTTCAAGCATCCTCGTAATGATGTCATTGGCCCTAAGCAAATCAAACAAGCAGTAAAGGCAAGACTCATTCAACACCCTGATGTTCACATCACCGTTGGACCATACTCAAGAAAGAGACATCAACAACCCTGCCCACAACCAGTTAAGGGTTTCAGTTTGGTTCGGTACCAATCATGTAAAGACATGAGTCCTTTCACCCCGATCATTGGTTTGGTCCGGAACGTAATACAGACCGGGCCTTTCTTGAAACACCCAACTCCTGGGCCCAACGTTTTTGCCATGTAATACAGACCCCCAAAAGGTATATAGAAGTTGGTAGATCCCCACTCAAAAGGTATTGGAAACCGTGCCACGGTCATCTATTTGGGGACCACTTTTTTCTTACGAACCGCCTTATTCGTCCCTTTCTGAACACATAATCTATTACAATTGTGTCAATTTCACCAAGGGAGAGATTTCGTCTTGGGAATCTCTCCTCATGAAGAAGATTTAGTGTTGGAGGACTCCCCCCCGAAATCAATCAAGTTTATATAAACAACTTTTTCAGACTTCCTCCGCCCAAAGCCAGTCTTCAGTGCAGCAGAACTGCACCAAAACCTAGTTCCAATACTACTTCCATTGAACATCCCACCCGACTCGCATAGTTTGGTGACCAACGCCGAGGATGTCACATCCCACCCGACTGACCGGTCGATGATGTGGCCCGACCGTTTTGGAAAATCACTTCGTTCCACAGAGCTTGGATTATGGATGGCAGAGCTCGGATGAGCACACCGGCACACGGAAGAGCAGTTTTTCGGAGCGGCCACTCTCTCTTCTGGTCTCAGAGAACTTGCTCGGATTTAACCTAATTACTCAAGCACCATGCCGGCCAAAGGTTGTCCAACTTCCAAGCGAGGCGTATGGGCAATGTATGGCTAACCTTTGGGCAACTTGCCGAGACCAAACAATCTGCTCGAGGTCACTTGTCAAACCTTGCAAACTGACAAGGCTAACAATGAGTAAAATTGGCCGTAGATCTCTTCCACAGCACTTGCGACGTTGAAATTCTGGAATGTGAACAACAAGGTGGTGCCCCCTATAAATGTGTGTTAGTTTCACCAACTTTCTCATATATCATATATCAATATATATCATATATGTTTAAAGATGTTTAGGACACTCTTTCAGGCATCCAGCAAATTCATGCGTTTGGGGATGAGACTGAAGCTCTTGAGGATGAGACTGAATTGAGGACGACCTGAAGACTGACACGAAAACACACAACCAGAGGGAAGCACCAAACTGTGAACCCACAGCGAACAATAATTGATGGATCTCGAAAGTATGTAACAACCTGAAGAACATGAGAAAATGCCCCCCTCGCCACAACGTCTTTGATTTTCCTCTGCTGGTTCAGTTGACGCTAGCACTTCAGAACAGCTTCCCCTGTGTATTGGTGGACGAAAAGCCGTGGATGACACGAGTTCCGGTCCACCACCGACCCCAGACCGGTCACCGCATGGGCGGACACCGGTCACCGCTGGGCGGGTCGAACGGTCGGTGCCTTCTTGGCAGAGCCGGTGAGAGCGTTCTGGAAGGCCTGGTCCTTGGAACGGTGGTGCGGCCGACCCGAAAAGATCAGTGGTGCGGCCCAGCGTACGAGCAGATTTGTACACTGGCCTGGAAAAAAACACTTGAACATGTGTGACCTGGTTTTTGTAGTGTCAAATCCTTAGTACAACCATGGTTGGCAGGGTGAAGCTGATTTTGCAATTGAAGCGGCGGGGAATTGTTTCCAAGAAGAACTTCAAAACTTGCTCTTCCCAATGCAAACAAACCACAAGTCGAACATAGCCGAACAGTTGCAAACACAAGACCCTGGGGAGCCATACAGTGGCAGTGTTGAGATGTCGCAAGATTCTGCTCAGAAGCTGTTTCCGACATGGAACTGGTACCCTGATCGGCGCCATTTTTCTTGGAAACCGAAGATCCCGCTTCATCTCCCTGTTCCTCAGCGCTGGCGTTACACAGCAAAAGACTGGTCCACCATTTGCGATTTTGCACGCAGCTTGAGATGGAAAACGACAGTTGATGGTGCTACTTCTTTTTGTGAATTGGCTGTGCTTTTTCACCACACTGGTTGGCGATTGGACGCTGACTATCAGACTCTCCACATCCATGCTGTTACGTGTCAGATCCGCCAAGCCTTCCAATACCTGTTGAAGGACACGAAAGTTCAGTTGTGCCCGGGCGAATTTCCGCCACTTATGTAAAGTCTGCAGGGCATGTTTTACCTCAAAGCGCTGTCGTCCGCGCTTTACCTTTGATCGAAGATCAAACCCTTCTCTACCTTGCACGCACATTGTGTGCCGGTTGTGGACGCACGATCGAATCGTGGCGGACTCCTTTTCTCTCGCTTTCATGAGGTGCTTCCTTGTGTTGTTTTGTATAGTTGGGGATCTTGCATGGCCGGATCAGAGTATCCGCCATGCAGACCGTCCGATGCCTGGGTAATATACAGTATATAAATACATACATAAATACATATCATTCATCTGTGAGGCTGGCCAGCTGGTGTCGTTCCACAGGTCGACGTGAAACTGAACGCCGATTTCTTCCGGTGTCGCGTTCCCCCCCTCACGTGTGACGCGTTTGCGCCGACACAGGGCGTTAGGCTCGATGCCGCATTCAATTCCGCAAGGCTGTCGAGGCACTCGCCGCTCGATGCACAACAATAGCACCCCTCCAAAACACCTGATGGCTCACTTCCTCGCCAGGTTGGTGTTTTTGGTCAGTTGTCCATGTACGCTTTTGGGCACCATGTCCAAAGTGCTTGGATCATTCACCTGCAAAGAACATGCAAGATCTCAAGCTGGGGGTCGACAAGCAACACATAAGAGGCGACCCAAGCTTCAATCCACCGCTGGAGACAGCTGCAGAGATCGTAAAAAGTCAGCCAGCTCATCTTTCATGATGAGAAATTGAATGGCTGGAGGCACGCAACCAACCTGAGAAAAAGAATGAACAAGATATATCACAGAAAGTTTGGTTGCTCAAGAACTCCCTTTACAATGTTCAGCGAGCATGTGAGCTGGGTCGCGACGGGTTTGCCCACGGATTTGTCTACTGAACGGTCGTCCGCACACCCGACCCAGTAAAAACAGCCCAGAACGGACGCAAACGTTTGCTAACGGTCTGGATGAAAGGGCAGGTTTCTGGCAAATACTAATTACATGTTTTCAAGCAAAGCCCAAAACATCTGGACTTCGTGGATGTCCCGCCACAACACACCCGACATGAAGTCCATCCGACTGCCTTCGGCGCATGCCGAAAGCACCAGCCAGCAATGCGCTCACAGTGCTCATGCTGTCGACGCCGCGTTGGCGATGTCCAGCTCTCCAACCAAAGTGCCCCAATGAAAAAACATCACACCCTAAGAATTCCAACAACCTTACAAATCCCAACAACCTCCAAGCCGCATAAGCCCTACACCGTGCCTCTCTCCGCACCCTTGATAGAAGGTGATAGAAGCGACGCTCCCGTCCAGTATTCTGCAAACACCCCCTGCTGGGAGTATTTTTCCGGGCACATTAATTATGCCTTTGAGAGTCACCTTCACCATTCATCATGGTGTTCGCGGAGGAATTCGTCTTCGGGGAGTGCGTCCTCGCAATGCGTCTTCGTGGAACCGCCCCAGCAGCAGTCATTGCAATGTGCTTCTGGTTGAAAAAACTCCACCAAAAGCCTTGAAGCACCCCGAAGATGAATCGAGCTTATTCAATATAAATATATCAATATCTTGATTATACTTGTTTTTTTTTGTAAATTGATGTGTTCCCAATATACAATCTCTACAAAACCAAAAGTATTCAGGTGTTTTCAGGGCAATGTCCGTCTGCGCACGGGGTAGCCCGTGATGGAGTGGCTGAGGCTCTTCATTCCCCCCCAAAAGAGGCTGTTTTTGGACCGAGCGCTTTCAATCATCGTCAAAGCAGGGCACCCTGCTTGACGGACTCTGCCTTTTCGCTGGACAGGTTCACCAAACTGTCCACCTGTCGGACAAGAGCAAAACACTCCCCAATCTCCGAATTGGCCACTGAACTCCTGAACCATTCCGTCGTTTGACCCCAAAAGCTCACATGAATCCTCCATTCCGATGGCCCGCCTTCATGACCTGTCAACGACCACTGCCTCCGTTGGGGGTGCTCTGTTTGAACCACTGCCACCGGAACCACATCCATCCAACCCAGCTCCCCAGTTCCGTCCACGCCAAGTCCGGGGCCGGGAACTTGGAAACGCCGGTGAGGTCGTTGGCGGAGATCAGCCTGATCGTCCCGTCCCTTTCCTCCGCCCCAACGCTATATGATAGGGTGGGTGCAGAGCACCATTCGTCTTCGTCTTCGAAGACGGCCATGCCCTTGCTTTCGAAGCAAACAAGTAGTCGGACACTTTTCTTGGATTTGCTTCAGGAACCAGGAACAAATATGTCGGGACTAAACATACTTAACCATAGGGAAGATTAACACCAATTACCTTAAGCATCCTTAAGCAACACCAGGTAAATGGTTCAAGGCCGCATTTACAAACGCGACATTGTGAGGTCATTCCCTTTAGAATCTAGAACAAGGAAGAGAAAAACAGGGCCCCTCCTACCACACCAAGACTTTTGGATCCTATCGAGGGCGGATTGGCTGAAAGAAACCCGCAAAAAGAACACCAAACAAAAGCAAAACCAATAACATTCCCGGAAGAGGCTTCATCCAAATTCGGGAGAAGAACCTCACCTTAAGCCTTAGGTTGGAGGCCATTGCTACTAGGTTGGAGGCCATCGCTACTAGGTTGGAGGCCATCACTAGTAGGTTGGAGGCCATCGGTACTAGGTTGGAGGCCATCGCTAGTAGGTTGGAGGCCATTGCTTCTGTAGGTTGGAAGCTATTCGGTTGGAGGCCATTGAAACCGACTTGGAGGTTTCGGTCTATCCCATCCCATGGACCTGCAGACGTGCCCGGCGCGCGTGCGCAGCTCCGCGATCGCAGAGTTCACCTCCCGCGCCTCTGCGAGGTCACCGGTGGATGGGAAAAGGGAATAAACGTGTTGAGACAGTCTGGGTCGCCGGTGGATGGGAAAAGGGAATAAACGTGTTGAGACAGTCAGTTTTTTCTTTTAACCACCGTGTTTCTTTTCTAAAATTGCATTTTCCACGAAAAAAACATCAACCTAAGACGACCAGTGTCGGACTGGCATATTGGCTGTGGGTCATCCCACCGGAAAACCCTGGTTGACCACCATGAGCAGAATAGACGACCAAACATGGTCAACCTACCAGGGAAAGGGCTCCGGGTTTTGACCCACAGCCACATAATGTCATATGGGTGTGGTGTGCCAAAGAGGACCCTCTGAATTGGGTTTGGAAAAAAGACCCAGTCTACCCAGCCGGCGATCATTCTGGGTTTCCCTATTAACATACATGACTGAATACATGACTCCCGATTGGGTGGTTCACCTGAGATCAAAGCACTATAGGTTACGATTTTTGGCACGCGGCTATAGAGATCAGCACTGCCAGGTCTTGTTGGGATACCCGATGGATCCCGATAGGCTCGAAGTCAATTCGTTGGAAGGTTCTGGTGGTTAGATGTTGTTTACCCCATTGTTTGCCTGTATTTTCACAGAACGGGTCTTCCTGAGAGATGGCTTTTATGCAGCAAAGGTGCACATACACAGTTTTTTTACAGTGCTTTTTGGCTGAAACATCACCAAAACCTTGGTTTTGATCCATATTTTTTTGCCTCAATGTTTTGTTGTTAATGCAACACATGATCAACAACGCTGTGTTTTACAGTGGTTTTCGGCTCAAACCTCGCAAACATCTAAGTTTTGAGCTATTGTTTTGCTTCAATTGTTCAGACCAGGCTGACAAAGGTTTAAGAAACAACAACATCAACAAAAAAACCAGGGGTGACTATAGCACCCCTTTGTGGGTCCTGGTCTATTTCTTCATTCTTCTTCCACCTCTTTTTGCTTCTTCCAGGAGTCACAAGACGGGGTGCCGAACTTGGAGGTAGTCGGGGTGCCCAGGATCCACTCACTGGATGGGACACCCATTCTTGTGACTCCTGGTTGTTCTTTCTTCTTCCTCCAAACATCGCCCCAGACCCCAAGCAGTGGATCCGTGAGGACAACCAGCGGTTACTCGACTGCTGCGAAAAATCAGGACCTTCCTAAAGAACAGAAGCCGCTGAAAATAGACACAAAACAAGGGAGTGGCCACAGTGGCCGAACGATGTTCATTGAAGGCCACTGAACATCAGCCACCCTCCTTCCCTAGTCTGACTTTCCTCTTGCTCTATAGGATAAAGGCATGGTAAAGGCCAACTCTTGTCCACCTGTTGATGTTTCCTGGCGTTTTGGCACACCAATCCCCAAGAAGGTTTTGTAGGTGATGTAGCTCCACAAAACCAGCCAGAAAGCCCATCTAGGATCTTGGCATAAATGAAAAACTCGGTCATCTCCTGGAAAATCAAGAACGGGTCAAAGGGAGAGACCTGTGAGGATTTAATCTACCAGCATTTTTCCCTGGCAGGTCTCTCCTCGTTGGAGGGTTGGGAAGGGCCCGAATACAGGTCTCAATTGGTGAACTGGTAGGTCTCGGATGCTGGTAGCTGTCGGGGTTGGGGAACTCCCTGGCAAGCCTATCGCCATCTCTCCCTCTCCTGAGCAACAACGCCAAACCTAGAACACCGAATCTAGAATTGCTAGCTGTAGCTGCTGCTCTCATGTTTTGCACGTTCTCTGGCCAAGCACAAAGCCAAGACTTCGCAGATCTTACAGTAACTCCCAGCCATTAATATCATTAATTTCATCACACAAAATCATACAAAAACCATCATGAGTGAGAGCATGGGTATGCTGATTTGGGTCGAATGTCGGAGTTGGATAGAACCACCCACCACAGGCGCAAAGCAAAGCGATCGAATGATCAACCCCAAATGCCCCACGTTAGGTTTGGGCCCATCTGAGTGTAGAACTTTCTCACCCTTCTCCTTAAGTATCCCGACATTTACCCCCCCGTACTGTTTCTACTCTGTACAGATGCATTGGCTCCACGGCTGGCCATCATGCACACCACGTGGCCAACTGCAGAAACGCTCCTCAAAAAAGACACAACTCATCCCCGGCACTGCTCAAATGTGGCTTTGTCTCATATCCAGTCTTCAAGCCCCCTCCTTACCAAGCTCTTGCCAGGGTTAAGGCCCTAGCTCTTGCTTCCTTTTCATCTTGCTTGACAAGCGCAGGCAACTATGTGTCATCGCTACAGCCTGCTCCCATGTGTTTGGTAGCAGATAATAAATTCTGCCACCGGGACTCGAACCCGGATCGCTCGGGTGAGAGTTGAGTATTCTAACCAACTAGACTATAGCGGATTCTGTTGGGCACTAGAGGGAGCCACAGTACCACAGGATGCGTGTGTATTGAGCCAGCAGGGGCACGTCAGGCAGGCAGCTTGACGTGTGTGCCAGTTCAGGGCGGTTCGCTCAGGGTTGTTCCCCCATCCTCCTCGGAGACTTCCTTCATCAAGGCTTCACTGTCCTTGGTGCGGAATTCACGGTTGTGCATTTAAGATGATTTCATGGTCATCCAAATCGGGGCCAAGCAACTCACTTCCATGTCACTTCCATGATGATTCCCATGAAGTATAAGCCATAGAGTTCCACTTCTGAAAGAACAACATGGGAGAGTTTCATCTTCGAAGAGCAAGCAGGTCCTCTGGTTCCATGGTGTGATTTCGTGTGATATGTTCTTCTTTGGGAGAACCGTTGCGCATGCGGCTCTGTTTCCATGTGGCTCACCATCCTGGATCCTTTCGAGTTTTCATGCTCAAAAAACGTAAAATATTTCCAAGGGGTTTGAGTTGATCATGAATCACTGTCAAACACCTGGATGTTGGCAATGGGTGCACTATGGTGCACTTCCTGTTTGGATCACCGTTCGTTTGTTGGGGTTCGGTCGTTGAGGTTTTGATCATCCCAAAGCAGAGTTCGATTTGGAAAACCCCTGCGATGTTCCCTATATCTTCTGTCTTCTACAAACACTTGACAAATCCTGGTGAAGCACAAACTAACTCAGATCCACTTGTCTATCTGCTGCAAGTCCGCCCTCCGCAAAATAGATCCGAATCAACCCATTTGGATGTGCATAGGGAGACACATGAAGACACGCAGCCAATGAGTTTTGGTCTATCTTCCTGCAATTCCGACAGGCCTTTGGGAGGTCTCCCCAAAATACAAACCCATCTCATGTCTGGCTCAGATTCGTCAGGGTTAAGGTAAGTGATTCAGGATGGGCCAGCATCCCGTTTCCTCTAGATCAAACCGATTCTATGCTCGCCCCATCTGCCAATAGAACCTCAGGGTGCCTGGAAGACGGACCCCTGGCACCATTTTCACACTGCAAAAACATGCAAAACACACGCACATGCAAAACACTCAAAGCACGGCGGCCACGGGGTGGTCAAGTTAACCTCCGAACCCTCAAAATCGCCGAAATCATCCGAAATCCCTCCACCCCATTCTCCCAAAGCGGGGCAGGGCCCTGGACCCGACCCCGCTCCCCCTTCCCATCCAAGTTTCGATGGTGGAGGCCCGGATGCAGGTGACCAAGTCACCGACCTGGTTGAGGTGGTGGGCCAAGCAAAGTGGAGGGCGGAGAGGAGACATGGATCCCGACTACCATTTGGTGCAACAACCAAATAACCCTGGATAACCCTAGAATAACCTAACCAAGCAGATTTGGAGGACCTCACCCTGAGATTGAGCTCGGCGAATGTCAGGAAGAAGCACGGGCAAGATCCAGAGTCATGTGTTGGATGGATGGAAGGAGGGACGGACGGATGGACGGAGGCATGGGAGCTGTGTGGGGTTCCTCCAATACAATCTTGTAGGCTGCTGGGAAGACGCTTTTCCTCTAATTACACAGGGAACCGATCTCTCCATTTTTCCGTTTCCCTAGCCTTTCGTGACCATTAACGGAGTTTGGTTGAGCTGGCTTTGCGGTGTACAATCCTTAGTAAAACCAAGCGTGTTTGGGGCTCAGGAAATTAAATCAATCATGGGCCAAGAATCTGGAGGTGTTGGATCAAGCTTGGGTTTGCGGCTTACCTCCTTTTCTGCGACCCCCTTTTCGACATATATATATATATGACCAGGTCTACCCTGGTAGTCGTTCCAAGGGCCAAAGACCAAAAACCTGCGGAACCAGTGGCAACTGACTACTCTCACTTCAACATTTGGAATATGTTTCTATCATTAAATAACATACATAATTGTAAAAAAATCTATGCTAAAGGCTGGAGGGTTCTATTTTATGCCGACGTCTTATGTAGTTTTTTTTTGATGTTGGTGATGTTCTATTTTGGACTATTCACTATTCTTTCTTGTGCCAAACTTTTTCATGCGGGGGGGTTGGCGGTTCTATTTACGCGGACAATTTGTTTTTAATTCTGGCGGTTCTGTTTCTTACATAGGGAGATGCATTTTTTATGCAGGCAGTTCTCTTTTTATGCCGTTGATAGTGTGTTTTCCTCTTCCTCCCTCTTTTTGCAGGGGGCTGGTTGCTTCTTCTTCGAAATAAACTTTATCTCCATGGGTAGCTCACAAAACTGTTATTCTATGTTTGCGTGCCTTTTACTCTAAAACATTCAAAAACTTGATTTTTGGGTGGCTCCCAATCACACCCGACGCACACAAGGCCTGCTACGTTGCAATTGTTCCTTCCTCCCAAAAATATACCCTCTAAAGGGTCACAAAAAGTATGCAACGCTGGACAGGTAGGTTCCTTCCTTGTGTAAATTTTGGCCTCGGATGGCTCACAAAAGGGATGCTACGTTGGAATCGTTCCTTCCTCCTCTAATCTTTTCCCTCGGGTGGCTTGAAGCAAGCCAGCCAAGCATCCAAAAAAAGGAGAGGAAGGTCAAGCGATCAGGCACTGTGATCTTTTTGACTGACCGGAACATTGCTGCATGCCTATAGTATCCCAGGCCAAAGCCTGTAATTTTTGTGGAGAACTCTGGATAAAGCAGGGCGCTTGGTATGCAGAAGCTGCCACCTAACCCGGGCTTCTGTTCTGAGGTGCTCCGCAAGCGCCTGCTTTTGCTTCTGCTTCCTTCGGCAGTTGCTGCTCTGGCTTGTCCCAGTTCCGTTGCAAAGGGCTTCGTCGGCCTTAGGATCACAAGGGATCGAGCTTGCTAGCCCCTAGCTGGGTAGCCTTGACGACGGCAGCAACAGCATTGGCTTAGTGTCAACATCCGGCGCCTTTGACTCATCCACATGTGTCTTTCGTCTTTTCCGCGGGCTCTCCTCCTCTGGGAAGCCAGCGTTAAACCCCTTGCTCAGTTCAGTGCAGCGCTCTGCTTTCTGTGGATTGGCCAGGAAGATGTAATCAAAGCCTTCCGCTTGAACTGCATGGGTAAAATGCTGCGTTGGAATGGCTCCCTCCTTGTCGAACTACCACCCTCAAATGGCTCACAAAAGGTATGCTACGTTGGAATGGCTCCTTCCTCGCCTAACTTTTACACACATCACATCACAAGAACACACATCACACGATAGTGAGGTACGGTTTAAACACAAACAAACACTGAAAAGCGACACACCATGAAACTATAGTAAACCAACATAACATAGAAAACAACAAATTGAGCATCACAAGAAACAACACCGATCCCGAGAATATGAAGCAACACAAACCTGAAAAACAAGCACAACTCAAACTAGCAAAAAAAACAACAAAATGACCGACACAGGAACAAAAACGAAAGAAACCACACATCACATCACACGAACATACAAGAACTACAGACCAAAAAGGATCAAACAGGAGAAACTGAACAAAAAAATAGTCCACATGTGACATAAACATAAAGCAAAAAACAGCCTCGCGCAAAAAGATGAATGGGAAAAAAGAGGAAGAGGAAGGAAAAGGAAGCTGAGGAAGGAAAGGGATTCCCCCCACCGCCACCACTTGGTGAAAAGGGTAAATCCACCGTTAAACAAACGTCGACGATCTGCATATAAAAAGCACCCTCCGCAAAAAAAAACACGTGCATACAAAAGAACCTGTGAGCCTAGAATCCAAAAAACACGGCCAAACAACTTGTCGGCATTAAAAAACGAAGAAGACCCCAGCCTGCCACAAGAAGCGGAAAGAGAAGACAAATCTGAAGAAGGAAGAGACATAAAAGGAAGGGAAAGGATTTTGGAGGGAGGGGGAAGTCCAACGGTCCACCAGCATGAAAAAAGAACCGTCTGCATAAAAGAGCACCCTCCGCTGAAAGTGACACCAACTGCATAAAGGAACAGTGAGCCTAGAATAAAAGAACCACGGGAATAAAACAATGCATGCGGGGAGAGGGAAAATCCCCTAGCATCAAACAAGAAATGTCTGCATAAAAAAGGACCCTCCGCATCAACAAAAACAATAACCACCTGCATAAAGAACGAATTTGTGAGCCTAGAAAAAATAACCACCAGCGACAAATTAGGTACCTGCTGCATAAAAAGGAACACCCTTGCCCCAAAACCACACCTGCCCGGTTATCTGACTGCATAAAAATAAACTGTCTGCATAAACATCAACACCCAGCCCGAGCCCTTAAAAAACACATGATGAACACGTTTCACTTGCGAGGCTCAACATGCTACACCAGGTTGCATGGAGAAGGGAATCGTGCCACGATGCCCCATCTACTCAGGCTTTTGTGAAAACCAATGGATCCTATAATTACAATTATCTGCAGATACCTGCAGTACTAGTGCACTTCCAAGGATTCAACCTTCAACGGCCGGAGCGCACGTAGCTCCCTAAAACACACCCATGCAAACGGACCGGCGCACCGAGGACTCGGATGACGGTGGTGAACTCGACTGGTCCATGTCACCATGACGGGCCGGCCCCGTGGTCTTCCAAGACAGTCCTGAACCCCGGCCTTGGTGCTCACCACCACCATCTGCGAGGGTGTAATGTACTTGGAGATCTGCGTGCCGCGGAGCAGCCCGAATCGCTTGGCAGATCTGTGGTCGGAGAATGTGGGCCGAAGAGGGGCAGGTCCTTTCCGATTTACATGGGGCTGTGGGCGAGCGTGAACATCTTCAGACACCGAAGAAGACATACTCAGTGTTTTGAACCATTTTACAGTAACCACATATCGAAAGAAACATGCAACAAGTAGTCTCAAATCGATGTACCTTCCCGAGTACTCCAAATGGCCGGCACATGCCGGTTTTTTTCCCAGGCTAACGCAGGCTGCGGTATGTGTCGTTTGATGTTTTTGTTGCTTCTCACGGCAAAACGGACAAACGCACAGCAGCTCCACAGAGCAGCTCCACCCTTACTCCCATGGAGTGACTCCACCCTTGTCTGGTGTTGTGCGCATCAACTCCACCGGAGCAAACTTCGTCCTCTGTCTGATGTCCACCCAAACGGTAAGAAGAGAGAGGTCTGTTTGGTTTCACTTGGGGCCTTAGGGGTCTCTTCCTCAACCAACCAAGCAACGGCACCGGTCAGGCCACCTATGGTATCCTAGCAGCGGGTCTAGCCCAGCAGCATCACTGGTATTCTCCCCTTCTACATCCTTCTACCAACGAAGGCCGTTCAAAGGCCACAAGCCCGACGAACGCGAGCCTTGTCCGCATATGGCGCGGCCTTGGCACGCCAGGCAAGAACGGCGGGATCTCGCTAGGCCAGTCGTACCGAACCTCGTACGCTCGGTACAACTGGACTGGATCCCTAGGGCTATATTATTACATATTATTAACTTAATTAACTATAAAGCAACAAACACTGTGGACGTCGATCGATCACAGACCAGTTTATGAGCAGCACATAAATCACACGACAAACAGGTGATCGAAGAGCAAAAACACTGTGTGGACGTCTAGACTCCTAGACCTTTCCATGGAGTCGACACGGCAGCGTTCTGATTGGACTCCACTCCACCGGCTAGTGTCTTTTCCGGAGTCTAATGACCATGTCTCTTTTCATTTTTTTTTGCTACTTAAACACAACAAATCAACACAGCATGTAGGTCTTTTGAAACCAACACATCATGGCGTTTCTCACATGAAAGGTCCGAAGAAAAAACCGGACGGTCCAAGCAAAAAGAAGGGGATACATGGGGATACCCAATCTGCCAGTGTTGTATTCGCGATCCATTTCTGGGTTTGGTGACGGAAGAAAAAGAGCGGTGTAGTAACGGTGTAGATGATGCAGCCCATCTGGAAGAATGCTTGCAGCATCTCTAAACTGCCTTCTGAGTCACGTTCTTTGTTCATTTCTTTGGGTTCCATCTGGTTCCACCATGCGGTACGCCATGTTTCCAACAACCGTGTCACTCACCACAGACTACAAACCCACATGGTCACAGCCTCAAACGTGGGCGTGCTGCTTCGCCCCCTCAGGTCCCACACTGCTAGCACTGGCGCATTGTCCCATCCTCCACCTTCCTGCGCCTTGGAATGAGCGCCGTGAGAAAGACGTCCCAGGAATCCTGTTGCCCCTCTTTTTGGATCGCGCGTCGGATTGTGGATGGTGCCATCCACCTACAAAACATGATGAAACATGAACCCATGTTCCAAAAGTGGGAGCTCTTGTCGTGGAATGTGGAAATGATCCTTGAAACAAACATGGTTTTGTGACCCCAAGCCTCCTCTCGTCCCAAAGCGAGGTGCCTGACCTTCTCAAGCGAGGTGAGAGACCATACACGAGAAACGCAGCCACGATTTCTGGAATGAAAAACAAAAACCAATTCATCACACGTCTGTTCCACTGTACAGGATGTTCTCCAAAACGTTGGCCAAACGCTAGAGGGCCCATAAGTACAAGTCATTTGAAACATCTACACCTATAGTGTGTCCTGGGTTATCTATATTTTGAAGAGCCCCACTTGAGGATCGGCCGAAACCTATACACCTACACCCCATTTTTCCTATTTGGGAGGTCATTTCCTTCAGGGAGACGACCTGAAAGAGACGGAGATAGGACCAGTCTACCTACCAGTCTACTCAACCAGCGCGTTCGGGAGTCTGCCTCTTAAACCAATTTTCTCCCAAAAGAAGGCGCCTTCTCGCCTTCATCAGGAATCCCTTCCACTCCTCCACCTCTCCTCATGTATCCTCACGCATTCCAGGCCTTCTCGATGGCCTTGGCCGCTGCCTCACACAACTGGGCGCCTTCGCCTGTGGAGCGACCATGGTATACTTCCAGCATTCTCCCGGTGGAAAGGCTTCAAACATCTGCTCATCTGGGTCACCGGACATACTCAACCGCCGCTGAAACTTGAACATGTTGAATCTTGGATTCAATAAACGAAGATAAACAAAGTATACCGAAGTAGATGTAGAAGGACAGGTGCACAACATGTGGCCACCGAAAACTCTGCTTACTGGCTCAGCGTCCCACACCTCTCGTCAGTCCACAAACGGTCTGTCTCTGTCCGCCCTGTCAACCATCAAAACGTTGCTCCTCTGACCCGGTGGAAGCAGAGCGCCGCATCGACTCGAAGACCGGTCACGTGGGCGGAGTTGGTCTGTAGAGGTGACTGTCAAGGTGACCAACCTGTCGGGTGCCAATGCCATCGTTGGACGTTCGTACCTACATGAGATGAGGATCAGGATCATCTGCGAATCTCATCAGACCGGTCCTTCGAGGTGACGATCATTGCGATCTTTCCGATCCGTCGACTCGTACCGAACCGGTTTGGTGATTGGAGCCGATGATGTAGGTGCCATTAGCGGGTCCAGTCGTACCGAACCTGAGAAGGTACGACTGGATCTCGAACGATAGTTACAGTGATAGATGAAAGATGATGAACACAGGGATCGTCGCAGGGTGACATCGTCTGTCTGCGTCCAAATTCACTACAACTTTCACGTACTTCGACGTTTGATGCTGAAATCCGGAACTGAATCATATTCTCAGTATTTCTATATATCTAATCCTCTGTGGATACATCATGATTCCTCCTATATCACCAAAACATACCAAAACCAATCAACTCGGTAGATCATCCGCTTGGGACACCTCGAGTCCTGTCGCTGTTTCCCATTCTCCATCCGTCCGTCGCCTTGTCGCCATGCCAAGACTTCTTTCACCTGATACGGCGGGGTGTTCCCCCCACCACCCGACGTGGTCCCGAAGTGAACGGTGCAATGGACGTGGTGGTCGTCCCGGACGGGTGGTGGTGGTCGCCACAGATCCGATGGCAGACCGGGCGGTGGACCCACCGATACTCGGTCGGACTCGCGGCACTACTCGCGGCCGCTCCAGGTGCCATGTCCCATCCCCAAATAGATTTCAATCCCATGGAGTCTTTGAGGTATGCAAGATCCTCCCAGAGTATCTCTGTTTTGCGTACGTCCAAGGCGAAGAGGAAGGTGCGACAGAAAAGGGTTCAGCAATTTTCAGCATGGTCCAGCCCATGTCAAGCCTCAAATTCAGCGATGGGCGATCGATATGGGAGTCCACATCGTAGATTTAACACATGGTCTGACGAACGGTGATCCGAGCCGAGGAATTTATGAGAGCGTTGGTGGTGCCAAGTTCCAGGGCATCAATAGAATGCAAATGGATCTTCATCCGAAAGATTCAATGTGACACAACTCAACTCTTTCATCCTTCTTAGGTTAGGAATCACATGGTGCCAAGTTCCTTTCTTACATCATGAAACATCAGAATCTTCATGAATCGTCTCACCCTGCAGGTTCTGGAGACCTCCAAAATCGGATCTGAGACCCCCCTCCTCTAGAAGTCTCCGGGTCTGTCTGTTCTCCATTCAGTCATGACTCATGACATGTCATGGTGTTTCAACCCCCGGTTAGTAGTGCTCCATTCCGTGCCACGGAATCACAGGTCAGCTGCACATTGGCCGCAGCGTCTTCCGGCTTGCCGGGATGTTGCATCGCATAGCCTCGGACTCTGAGAAGCACCCAACGACAAACCGGTTTAAGAAAAGCGCCTTGACTCGGACCCTGAAATGCAGTAGGAAGTGGAAGTGGAACATAGATGAACACAGACCCCTGGAGACGACCACTTCCATCTACAAAACAGGTGTTTTTTTCCACCTTCCATGTCACTTCTCCTAGTCATGCCGTAACTTCCTTGCATCTCGACCAGCACATCCATCCTCATCCCGGCCCCAAGTTGTTGTTCTCTGATCATTTTTCAAGTCAGGAGACCCTCAAACCAGTGAACCGAAGAACGCCTCAAAGAGCCTCCTGATCGATGGAATCGGATTTACTTCCAGCCGATTTCCACCTGCCAGGTCTCCTCCTTCGAGGCGGTCTTCGGTCTTCGAGGCGACTGGTAGAGTACTGGTCTGGTCGAGCGACCAGTACTAGGCAGGTCGAAGCGGAGGCGACTGGATCTCATGATCTGCTTGGTCTTTGCACAGCTTTCTGAATCAGACCGTGTTGCTCTTCTGTCCCATATCGTCGACACCATGTGGTCAAACATGAACAAATCATTGGAGCTGCAAGTCGAAGTCTAAGTGCCAATGATGTCCTTTCAAGAATAATAGAGGAGTTGATGCATATATGGTTCCCTATTCATCAACCAACCAGTCTAGGTCGACTGGTCAGGCCATCTTTAATCTAGGTCGACTGGTCAGGCCAGCGGCCGGTTCAAAGAAAACTCCGGCTCCCCTTTGCCAAAGGACGCATTAACTTGATATCATCGTAGTCCTCTGGGAGCTCCTCGTGCGAGGCGCGAGGAGGGATGTGTTGATGACGATACGATGATATGACGGACATGTCCTTTTTCGGACCCCCTAAACGCCACAAAAAGGAGCCTTCAAGATGGAGGTCCAGAGCCAGGGCTCTGAATTCTCGAAGCTCGGTTTTCACAAGCCTTAGCAGTTCCAGCTCGGGGGTTCCCTCTCCGGCAGGCGACCCGCACCGGGGTGGACCCTGAAACCCATCAGAAGTCTAGACCTATCCCCCTCTCTCCCCCGGTGATCCGTGTCACGGTTTGTCGATTCTGGGATCGGAAAGAGATATTGAAGAGAAAGACCACGGGATCTCGGGTCTCTTTGCAATTCCAGGTCTCATCCTCCAGAAATGGCTGGGGCAGAGTACCACACGTGATGGTCTCACAGTCTCACTCAGAGACTTATTCGCACCCATCTATTCCCAAAGCGTCAGTTTTCGTCCAGGGCGGTCATGAGTTTGTTGTTTGGAGGCCCCAAACTAAAAAACAAAGACGCGATCTATCTCGCATATCTGACGCCAACAGCTTCCAGGTTCAATTGGAGACTTCGCTGTTAAAGCGGCCATCTTTGGTCACTAATTATAGTTTTCGAACACATTGAGGAAACTCAATGGAAATTCCCTTTTCGGGGTCACCGTTCGTGTTGGACCATGTTCTCTAAACACGTTCTAAATCAACAACACTCCCAGGATTGGTGTTGTTAGCTTGGTGTTTCACGAGATTTCTTCCTATTTCTTCTTAAGACACCGGCACGAACCCTTCACCCGGCCTGCTGCGCTCGCGCTCGCGCACCGTCCCGTGTCTCCGGTCTCCATGTGAGATGTCTCCGCGAGACCGGGGTCCTTGCAGAGCTCCCGAATCTTGGCCACCTGCCGTGCTTCGGATGTGAAACAAAAGAGAAACCAAGAGAGGTAAAACAGATCTCTCTCATAGTCTCATTGGTACCCCATACGAAAAGGCTCTTTTCAGGTCGCTGAACCCCTCTTGGAATCTCATGGAAGCGGACCATGCTCCTCTGATTTCAGGAAAAAACGTATTCCAGGAAGGTGGACGTTGGAGGGAGGGTAGCCGAGTTGTATCATCCCTATACAGAACCGGCGAATCTGAGACCTTTCCAGAAGGTGTATCCCAGAACTTCCGTAGCTTGACTCGGGGGACATTCCCCATCTGGAAGTCATATTTATCCACTACCAGGTCAGGGTACATTGTTGGATCTATTCATGGGGGGTATTCGATGGCATCTGTTTTAATGTGAGGCAATGCCTCAAGCTATGGATCGCAGATCTGTGCTGTCTTCCAAACCTAACTCGGCAGAACCTAATCACTCCATGTATGTATGGCATATCGCAGACCTATATTTGGGTGATTTGATGGGAATGTCTGCCTTTTAAACCATAAAACCGGACTCTGTGGAATGTCTGCCAACAACACACGTTTCAACTAGTTTCAACAACTAACGACCCGTTCCCTCAGCTCGATTCAGCGATTACAGCTCCACATGCTAGCTGTCCAATTTTGAGGTATTAATGAGAAGACCCTCATCGAGTGAACATGTTGGGTTTCGTGTCTTCTCCTTTTGCCACACCAGCTTTTTTGCCACACCCCGCTAAGTCTCACCCACCAAGTCTCACCCACAAAAGCAGTCCGTGTCGTCGTGTTTCGCGAACCCGTGAGAAAACCGAGAGGTGTCCCGAACCAGCTTCCAAACCAACGGATGCACGGCACCGCGTGACAGTCGGCCTCAGGGGCATATTTCTTCGAGATGAACTCTAAGGACCAGTCCTGCCAAACGGAAGGCGAAAAGGAGGCTTTCGCTGCGTGAAGCAGGGCAGGGCTTCACCTTAACAGAAGCTAGCCTAGTTAACCCAGAAGCACCATGAACATCCATGAGCTGGGCTACAAGGGAGACTCCAAAACGAGCCTTTGAAGAATTGAGTTCTTCTCACTAAGAACCTATATGAACCTATCCTTCAACTTCCTGGCGTCTAACCACGAATCCATCAAACCCAGAAAGCAACAGGTGGTATGGCCGGCCACTCTCCTCGATTTCTTCCGCTCTTCTTCCTCGGGCCCGACGCACGAGACGCACGGCATACAACCTTTGGAACACTCCCAGAATCTCCATGGGACTGTTGCCTAGTTGCCTTTCTTTTGACCTACATTGACCCGGTCAGGCCCTGAAGCACCTAAAGAAACACCCAAATGTAGGTATATTAAATGATTGTATATACATGTTCCATATATATATATATCCATAATTATCCATATATGCTTGTTTTTCATTGACTAAGGATTTTTTGGGGAGGTACCATCCTGCGATCCGTTCAGGTTCCAGATTTGTGGGTCCAACAGTCACCAGTTTCGACACAGTTGTGTTTTCTTGTTGAAACGGTTTGTGGTTGTTGAAACTTTTGTCACACGGTTTATGACGGGGCCAATCTAGTGAACCCCCCCAACTCCAAACACTGCTTTCAAAACCGTTGCTTTTTAGAAAGGTCCAGCTCGCTTTGACATGGTGACTTGGGAGTTTGGGCACTGACACCGTCTGACACCAACAGAAATCTTTCATGTTGTTCTCTTTCCTTGTGACAAGGGAAAAGGCAACAACTGACTAGACACTTGCTGTAACAATATATGATTTGTATCTCTTAGTCCCAACATGATTGTGACACGGTTCACGTGTTTGTCCTATAGTTGTCCTAGTTAGAAACATTTGGGTACTGCATATTTGTGTAGATCCTGGTGAAGCAGCAGGGGATGATGCTTGGGGGAGGAAGCTATGCGATGGGCCTTCGTCGCTCCAGCGACCAAACAGTGCATGGTGTCCGCGAGGGAGTCAAAGAGTGGAGAACAAGAGCCACGGAGCGAACTCGCCGTGTGCCACTTCGAACGGCCGGAGATGTCACAAACAGGTGATCATGGTCTCTTGAAGCGCTTTGAACATCTGAGAACATGCAGCTGTCTCCATTCCAAATGCTCGTCTGTCAAAACTCCCGCAGAGTTCCGTTGTGGACTGTAAAGTACATGCCCAACTTCGAAGCGGAAAAGCCGGGCTGGGCACCGCCGGGAGACCCGAGTGGAATTGGCAGAAGTGATGCGTGCGGTCCAACAAACAAGCGTCGCTTAGAAGCGGCAGCAACGGACCAGCGGTATCTGAGTGCAAAAATCGTTGGGTCTATCATTGTCTATCCTATTACCAGTGACAGTGGATGATGGTGAGTAGAGGCCTTTCTCGAACTACAAGTATAGTACTTAAGACATACTGACTGTCAAAGGTACCTGGACACTCAACCGCTAAGATTTTTTTGGTAATCACTGGAAAACCAAAAAAAATTGGTTAGACCAATTTTGGTCCAGGTCCACTTTCACCACTAGTATACCTTTGTTTGCCCCATGCTCATTTTCCACGCCAAACTCCTCACCAGTCCGCCACTGTCTGGACAATCAGCCTCCGGCTGACCAATCCATCCAGCGGGTGTTGGCATACACGAGCCACCTGTTCACCGTTCTTAAGCCAACATTTGCTGCATGGACATTTCGCCCAATCCTGGAAACAACCCCTACAAAGTCTTCGTCCATGGTGGTTGACCATGCTGCTGGGTTGAGAAAGGCACGGGTTTCTGGATCATCCAATGACTTTCGCAAGTCATATCGGACATGGTCTAAATAATGGAATTTTGGAGTAAGGTTGAAGAAGCTTTGTTTCTTCCGGAAGCAGCACAACGAGCATTTGTAGTACGACTCCAGGAATGTTGTCAACAGGCCTGTCGCCTGTGTAGCTTCTGCCCTCGTCAACCAAATGCGGTCAGCAGTGTAAACAAGGCGCATGAAATCATCCATGCTGCAAACTGCCTTGAATGCAAGTTCAAGAACATCATCGAATTCGATGGGTCCAGACATGTAGTCACAAAGCCATTTGAGGAACATCGCCACGTCAGATGCTTTCATCGTGGAGTCTGGCATTGATGCCAAACTACTCCAGTGCAGATTTTCTTTGGTAAAAAATCTTGAGATGAGGGCTCTCCTTCAGAACTTGTTTGCAAAAGCAAGCGCACACTGAGTAAGCCTTTGTCAATCTCTGAGGGACACCTCGCCCAAATTCTGGCAAATCTGGCACAAAGTGGTCCATATGCACCAGGTAGCAAATCAAACTTGCCACAAGAGCTCTAGTAACTCCTAATGAGCATATGTGGAAGATGTCCTTGCTGATGAATGTTTCCTCACACGTGTAAAGTCTGTAAAGTGCTTTTGGCAAATGTGGTGATGACAAAACAACATGTGCATGATTAATTCCCATTCCCCTAAAAGCACACCAAACCAGCACAAAGTTGTTGGTCAACAGCAAGACGCCACACTCGCCCCTGGAATTTCCACCAAAGAACTTGCAACAGTCCACGGTCTTGTGCACCCGACTGTGGCTCTCCAGGCAGCAGAACTTCTAACATCTGTGAACGGCATACACCTATCATTGCCTTGACACCAATAGCACATTTCATTCGGTACAGCATTGTAGTTCCTTTTGCAGTGGTAGATCTTAGCCATCGCAGCTAGATCCCCCTCATGCCCAATCCAAACCAAATACCATGTCATGGACTGATCTTTGAACTTCATAGATATTCCAGAAAAATATGCACCTCGAGCTTGGATAGCAAATTCTGCCATCAACGAGTCAATGACAGCATTGCCCAACTCAAAGCCCTTGTGAGCAGCACTGTAGAGCTTGTGAGGCATAGATGCCCACAAGAAGCAATGGCGGTGTGACCCCTGACCGGCTTTGAGGAACGGCCCCCAGCTGTGTTGGAGCACGGGGTGCTTCATCTTTCCAGTCCCTTCATCTGTGTGTATTCTGCATGGTATGCACCACTGTAGTTCGTTTTGGTGGTCTTGGTACACTGGATGTTCTTTGTTCACCCTCCTGTACCGTCTCCAAAAACGAGTGAAAAGGCCTTGGATGCACGGAAGTTCTTGTGGCCCATGGCCAGCCAGGAGTTTCTCAGGATACTGCTTCAAAATTGCTTCTGCTAGACTCTTGATTGGCAGGACTGGGTAGGCCGTCCATGAAACCCTTTTGTCATGACCGATGCGCTTGACTTGGGTGAAGTCAACATCAGCCTGCAAACTGAGCCCTAAAGATTTCAAAGAAGATGTCAGCGTTCTCTCGCAGTTCTGTGAGCCACTATTTGCAGCTCGCCCCAACTCAAACATTTGTGCCTGGCCATAATGGCCAGGAGACATGGTCTTGAAGTGGTTGTTTGCGATCTGAACTGCTTTCACAGCACTTCTTTCCTGAGAGGCTGATCGCAAGAAACCATGTGGCAACACACTCAAACTCAGTTTCTGCTCGAACCCTGGTGGATCCCCAAAGCACTCACCCCATTACTATTGAAAAATCAATCCAATATATATATATATAATATATATATATGTACACACAAGGGTACACACAATTTATATGTGTTTTTGCCGTTCCAAGGATCCACATATGTCTCAACCACATCTTTCAACGATGCCAGACCTGCGCAAGGAGCACGCTCTTTTGGAAACACAGAGTTTGGTGACAATTTCCCTCCCTCAAAGGGGAAAGTTGGAAAACAGCACGCCAGCTGCGCAAACTCAAATTTTCAAGGCAGCATTTTGTATTGGATGAGACAACACAGGCTCCTTGCCTCCGTGGCAACCGCAAAACTGGAATCTCTGTGTCACACTCCCACGGACACCAAAATAGTTCGGTGGAAGTATTCAAGGGTACAACAAATAAACATCTTTGGTATTCGGCCATAACAAATGAACCATGGTGACTTTGGGATTCCCCCCTGAAGGTTCCGAATACTACAAAGTGGTTCACTCCTCTTTGGTTGTCTTCGCGGCTCTCGGCTTGCGTTTGAAGTGTGTCCTCAAGAAATGGCACGATGAAGCATATCTGAAAGAATCGGAGGAAACAGTCTACGCAAGCACAGCTTCAATTCAATCAAACAGCTGCAAAGTATAGGTTGCGAACTTCACGATGTTCACCATATTCTGGAAATTTGAGCACCTGAAGCTGAAGCCAATCCAGATGGATCAACAAGCACAGGTCAACAAGAAAGGCTCCAACTCATGGCGAACAGTCTCTGCAAGATCCTTGAAGGCCTTCTTGTCCCTTGGTTAGAAGCGGTAAGCCGGTAAGCTGGAAAAAAGAACAACTGCTCCCGCACTTTATTTGCTTGCAAGCTGCTGGGCCGTGTTCTTTGTTTCCGCTTCGCACCATTTCTCATAGTGTGAGTTCAATTTCCCTGAGTTTTGTCCCACCCACAACATCAGTCGGAAGGATGCAGAAAGCAGACGCAAAACATAAGTGCACACAAAGGGCCAATTGATGCGGTCAGCTTACTCATGTCACTCCTAGGCAGGCTCTTGAATCTCAACAAAGCTTGTAAGTGTGACACACCGCAACAAGAAGGCTTTAGTAACCCTGGCGCAATCAAGAAACTCGTGTGTGGTGCACCCCTCGGACGATAAGCGTTCACTGACATCCTTGTAGACCTGGCGTCTGTTTAGCATAGCCTTCTTGTACTTGTTAGTGAACTGAGCATAGGTCTCGTCACCCTCGATTGGAGGCAGGCCAGAGGTGGGTTTCTTCTTGAGGTCTTTGGACTCGCTCTCTTCAAAACCCTGAATCCCCCGCCTCCACTGCTTTGACATTTGCCGGAGCCGATACATTGCCTCTATCTTGGCCTGCGCATATTATCAAAAGGACTCGCAAGGTTGCACTACAGATGGAAGCACTTGACGCAAGAACCAAGGCCTTGTTGTTCTCGTGGTGGTCACCAGGAGCATAGCACTTTACAAAGTCACGCAGCAGTCGGTCTCTATCACGCCCCCCTCAGCAAACCGATTCCCCATCCAACCCCTCAAAGTGCTCAACGACCACAAGCAAAACCAACTCGCAAGCAAAGCTAACCCCTCCTGCATGCCATGCATTGTAGATGGCTTCATTGCAAGTTTTCTTCTTCGTCAAGCGATATAGGAAGGCCCATGCCTCTGGATGGGTCATTGAATTGATCGCTTGGTGCTCGATCTTGCTT